TAGAGACGGGGTTTCACCATGTTGACCAGGATGGTCTCAATCTCTTGACCTCGTGATCCACCCGCCTCGGCCTCCCAAAGTGCTGGGATTACAGGCTTGAGCCACCGCGCCCGGCCTCCAAACCTCTATTTTATTAGGGTGGTGGTGGGCAGGGGAGCATGCGCCTTGGAAGCAGCTCTACCCACTGCTTGCCCTCTTGCAGGAAGGGCCTAGTGGGTGACTGGAAGTGGGATAGGGATGAGGACTTGGGTGTGGCTGGAAAGTTTGATGACACCAGCTCTGAGCCACGAAGCATCTTTCTAATCTAAGAAGGAGCTGCACGGGGGTGGGGTGGCATGGAGCAGGGCAGGGGCCTTCGGTCCAGTGCCCCTCACCCTTCCTTCTTCCCAGGACTGCGGGAAGCCCCTGTCGATTGAGGCAGATGACAATGGCTGCTTCCCCCTGGACGGTCGCGTGCTCTGTCGGAAGTGCCACACTGGTCGAGCCCAGACCTGAGTAAGGAGTGGCCCTCTGCAGACTGCAGCCCATGCCCACTGTGGACCACCCACACTGAGACCACCTGCCCCCACCTCAGTTATTGTTTTGATGTCTAGCCCCTCCCATTCCCAGCCCCACGCTAGCATCCCAGGTGCCCTGACCCTGGGCCCGAGGTTGCCTGGGGTGCAGAGTTCCCCACCCTGGGGTGTAGTCCTCACCCATCCCACAGGGACTGCCCACCGTCCTCCAGGACCCCACCTGAGGGGCACCAGGTTTAGTGCTGCTGCCTTCACTGCTGCACCCACACCCTCGGCCGGCCCCCGAGCAGCCTTTGTACTCCCTCCAGGACGTCCCCACCCTCTCCTGTGCTGCCAGGTTGTAGCTATAGCTACAAATAAAAAAACCTTGTTTTCCAGAATTCTCAGTAGTTGGCTCTTTTGTAGTGCTTACTGCCCTCATGGGTGGGATGGAGGCAGAAAATCAGTTCCTGTTTATGTACAAAAATATATATGTGTATGTTTGTATATATAGTAACCCCCAACTCCCTGCCATGATCACCTTGTTACTTCTACCCCCACCTCCCTTTTAAAACAAAGAGGTTTCTGGGGTGCAGAGCAGGGTTCCGAAAGTGGGCAGGAGCAGCATCGATAGCCTACGTCTGGTAGGCTGTGGAAAGGGATGCAGGGAGTGACTATGAACGACCTTGGCCTGTCCTTGCTCCTTGCTCCCTGATTGGGGGTGGGGTGAGAGGAGGACTCAGTCCTTGAATCCCTGAATACTGCAAAGAATTCGCTTCTGGTGCCCGGGCAGTGTGATTCCCATCTGCGTCAGGTCCCTGTGGGCAAGGAAGTGGGGAGGCCGTGAGTCTCTGGACGCTCCACCCCCGCAGTCCTCCCAGCCCAGACAGCCCCAGCTCCTTACTCAGCGGTCAGCTCCAGCACACACTCCATGGTGTCCAGCCCAGCCGAGTGGAAGTGCAGGATGTAGCGTTTCATGCGTATGGACTCGAGCCACTCAGAGACGCTCCGATACGGGATCCCATCTGAGCCGCTCAGGCTGGGTAGGCGAAGAGTCACCCTGTGGGATATGGGCTGCGTCAGCCTCATGGCGGAACCGGGCCTGATCTGGTTGACCTCTGAGCATCAGCAGCAAACACTGAAGTTCGGTGTCTGGGCACAGAGATCATCTAGAGTGGATTCACCCCACCATTATCTGTGAGGCCACTTCCTGGCCTGTTTCCTGGTGTGCTCACAACAGCAGCTGGCTGGCAGTCCTGCTATGTCGACAGACCTAGGGAAGGAACTGCCCTGGGAGGCCCCAACAGAAGTGGACCACCAGCTTGTCCCCTGCTGGAATGGCTGTTCTGGGCACCTGACAGGGGCTGGTTAAGACATGGAAGTCAGCAGGGCAAGATGGCTCACGCCTGTAATCCCAGCACTTTGGGAGGCTGAGACGGGCGGATAGCCTGAGGTCAGGAGTTCGAGACCAGCCTGGGGCACGGTGAAACCCCATTTCTACTAAAAATACAAAAATTAGCTGGGTGTAATAGCAGGCGCCTGTAATCCCAGCTATTCAGGAAGCTGAGGCAGGAGAATTGCTTGAACCCAGGAGGTGGAGGTTGTAGTGAGCTGAGATCACGCCACTGCACTCCCGCCTGGGGAACAGAGACTCTGTCTCAAAAAAAAAAAAAAAAAAAAAAAAGGGAAAAACAACACCCTCAAAAAAAAAAAAAAAAAAAAAAAAAAGACATGGACGTCTCCTGTCTGAGAGGAAGCTGAAGGTAGGGGCCCTGGCACCTGGGTGTGGTCCTGCCTTTTTCCATAGTGGCCTCTTGAGTTCTGGGAGCAGTCCTTCCTCACCACCTTCAAACGTTGGCTGTTATTCTTGCACTCTGACACCCGCAATACAATGAGTGTTCCTGTACTAAAGCTCGCCAGAGCCAAAAACCATTAGCAAAGTAAATCTGCTGGGGGAAAAATATCCAGCATTCCAGAAAGATTAGCACATGCAGTCTCCAGTGTATGAGAGAGTTGTGCTCCAAAAGATAGTTTCAAAAGTTGGAACTTAGAACATGTTTTCTCCCAGAAACAAGGTTATGTATGGTGGGTGGATGCAGAGGCCAGTTGGCCAGGCTGGCTACCCAGCAAAGCACTTAAATACAGCCTTGTCTGTTTCCCCCACCTGAGCCCCCCACCCCCTGCCCATCAGTTCATTCTCTACATTCAGGCCGTATTTTTGGTAAAACGCAACTCTGACCACATCCTCTCCTGTGGACAGTTTTTAAGAATTGGTTCGGCCAGGTGCAGTGGCTCACGCCTGTAATCTCAGCACTTTGGGAGGCCAAGGTGGGTGGATCCCCTGAGGTCAGGAGTTCAAGACCAACTTGGTCAACATGGTGAAACCTGGTCTCTACTAAAAATACAAAAATCAGCTGGGCCTTGTGGTGGGCACCTGTAATCTCAGCTACTTGGGAGACTGAGGCAGGAGAATCGCTTGAACCCAAGAAGGGGAGGTTGCAGTGAGCCAAGATCATGGCATTGGCCTTCAGCCTGGGTGACAGAGTGAAACTCTGTCTCAAAAAAAAAAAATAAAAAAAATAAAATAAAAAAAGAATTGGTTCTCTGCACTCAGGGTAAAGTCCAAGCTTCTCAACAGGGCTGGTCCTCTTTGTGTTGACTCTGGTTGTCTCTCCAGCCTCATGACTATTCCCAAACACAAAGCTGCAGTCATCCTACACTATCTGCAACTGCCAGCCCTCAGCTCCTCCAGACTAGCCATGTGACCCAGGAGCCTTCCCAAATCTTGCAAGGCTGCTCCTGCCTACCCCACCCCAGCCTGGCTGCCCAAGCTCCCTGGAGCAGGTACCAGGTCACAAGTGCAGCTGTATTGGCCAGGTGCGGTGGCTCATGCCTGTAATCCCAGCACTTTGGGAGACTGAGGCGGGCAGATCACGAGGTCAGGAGTTCGAGACCAGCCTGACCAACATGGTGAAACCCCGTCTCTACTAAAAATACAAAAATTAGCCGGGCGTAGCAGTGGTGCATGCCTGTAGTCCCAGCTACTCCGGAGGTTGAGGCAGGAGAATCGCTTGAACCCAGGAGGCAGAGGAGTGAGCCCAGATCGTGCCACTGCACGCCAGCCTGGGCAACAGAGTGAGACTCTGTCTCAAAAAAAAAAGTGCAGCTGTATCTCCAATGTCCAGCAAACAGCTCGCACCAATAGGTCCTACAAACGTCATGAATGGATGGCCCTTTCCTCCACATGCAGAAATAGTTCTATGGAAGGGGATGTATCCCAAGACCAGACCATAGCACAACACAGTGGGATTGGCAAGGATGGCTCCATGAGTGTCCTAGGTGAGGCAGCCTGAGAAGGGAAAAGATGGGGACCCCCCCAGCCCAGGTGAAGTGAGGGAACTGAGGCCCAGCTGTAAATGATTTTCTGCAAATATGAGTAATCTAAAGCTAACCTCTTGGGCTCTACCCAAGGGCACATACACTTGGACTTGCCTCATACACTGGACTTGGTCCAGAGCTCCCCAGGCCCAGCACTCGGAGGATGTGGCTGAATGCCTATTTCCACTCTCCCTGAGCTGCCTCCAGTTTCCCTAGTCCTTCCCCAGCATGGTTACCTGGGGTCAAAGTTGGCAATGGTCCGCAGGGAGTGGGGGTTGGCAAGCAGCTGCTCCAGATGTGCCTGAAGCTTGTGGAAGTGTGGCCGGCGGGCACTGTTGTATGCCCAGCAGTTCTTCATGAGCTCATAGAGAGGGGCAGGGCAGTCCACGGGAGGGGGCAACCGGTAGCCCTCCTCAATGCTCTTCATGACCTGCAGGGCGGGACAGGAGGATGCTCTAGAGTAGCAAGCTAACCTGGAGGCTGATGTGAAACTGACGTTCACAAAAGATCATTGCTCCTAGGCAGGATGGGAGGAGGTGGGAGGACCAAGGGGGGAAGATCACAGTGAGAGGATCGGGGTGGGAAGAGTAAAGAGAGCAGGGCATGAGGTGAAGGACCAGGAGAACCAGGAGTACAGAAAAACTGTGGGTCATGAATAAATAAAGATGTTTGCAGGAAAAGGCCATGGGAGGACCTTGGGAGGAGACAGGTGTGCGTTGGAGATGCGATGAGGAAGACTATTCTGGGGCTTACCTCCTGATTGTTCATCTCCCCATAAGGCTTGTCGCCAAAACTCAGCACCTCCCACATCACAATCCCAAAGCTCCACACGTCGCTGGCCGTGGTGAAGATTCGCTGGGCAATGGCTTCAGGGGCTGTCCAACGGATAGGGATCTTTCCTCCCTAAGAAGGCACGTGGGTCAGGGATGGAAAGCTATGGCGTCCACCTGAGCACAAGTCTGTGCTTCTATACACGTGACTATATGACTAGCACATTATGGTGCAGTGGGAATGTGCATTCGGTTTGTACCAGGCCCTCACCTGGGTTTCGTATGTGCCATCAAAGTCATTCAGGAGGCGAGTCAGGCCAAAGTCAGACACCTTGCAGCACAGGTTTTGATTCACCAAGATGTTCCTTGCAGCCAGGTCCCGGTGGACATACTTGCGATTACTGAGGTAGTTCATGCCAGATGCTATGCCCTGCAGCATGGCCACTAGCTGCCCAGGGGCCAGCTGGTCCTCCCGCTCCTGCAGCAGGGTGGGTGGGCGAGTCAGGGGATGGGCGGGGTCTCCTCTCAGTGCCCAGGGTGCCACGGTGCATTCCCCTCCCCAGCTGGTCCTCTGCCCTCCTCACCCTCAGGAAGGCATCCAGGGCTCCATTCTCCATAAATTCTGTGATGATCATGATGGGCTTTCCTGAGACACAGAGCACACGTATCACACTCAGAACCAGGCTTCCTGCCCTTGGCCGTACATCCTCCCTCTACTTTCAGTGGTTTCACCGCTCCTTCCTGCATTTCCCGTCCCCAGCTAAGGGAAACCGCTCCTCATACTCTTTGTGACGACGCCTTCCAGATGCAGAATGTGCGGGTGGCTAAACTGGCCCATGATGGTTGCCTCTCGAAGGAAGTTCCACCACTGGCCATCTGGGGATGTGTCTTTTAAGGTCTTAATGGCCACAGTCTTGCAGTCCTGGCTGGGGAGCCTCAGGGTCCCTCGATACACTTCCCCAAACTCTCCTGGGTAGAAAGAAAACAAGCTGTGGCCTGATGCACTGCCAGGCTCCCCCAGGGGGCAGGCAGCAACCCCTCCAGTTCTCCAGCCCTTTTCTTTTCTGGAGAATCAGAAGTGTGGAGTGCCCTTCCTGGGACAGGATGTGGGCTGTCCTTCCTGGGGAAGGTCAGAGTCTGGAGCTGGAGTGCAATGCCATGACCTAGTCCCCACTGTCTCCCAGTGCTTGGACAGTTCTTGGCTCACCATAGGTGCTCAGTAGTGCAGGGTGAATGAGCCCTGTGCAGCAGGA